GAGTGTCACCGGCCAGTGAGCTCTGGGGATCCTCATCTCTCCACCCTGCCATTCTGGGGAAACACAGAGAGAGAGAGAGAGAGAGAGAGAGAGAGAGAGAGAGAGAGAGAGAGAGAGAGAGAGAGAGAGAGAGAGCCATGCCCAGCATTTTTATGAGTGCTTGAGACTTGAACCCTGCCATTCTGGGATTACACACACACACACACACACACACACACACACACACACACACACACACACACACAGAGCCATGCCCAGCATTTTTATGAGTGCTTGAGACTTGAACCCAGGTCCTCCTGCTTGCGGAGCACGCACTCTTAGCCACTGAGCCACTGGACCACTGGGCCACCTCTTTCTGGTTCCGTGATCTTCATCAACACAAAACAACAGGAAAGGTGCCGAAGGGAATAAGATGGAAGACGTTCTCTGGGCAAGGCTGTGTGGTTCAGTGGCAGAACACTCCCCGGCACGTGCAAGTCCCCTGCTCTGAATTGCACTTCTCAGACTTCCTAGGACGTCGTGTAGAGCAGGAGACACAGACACAGCCGGTCTCTGGCTCAGCATCCTTCTCCACACAGCTCTGCTCTGTTGCGTGCATGCAGGGGCTGCCTCATGGCCCACACGGGCATCTTCCATCATTGGCTAAGCTCCATCTTCACCCTTAAAAGGAGCATCTCCCGCCACACTCCCTGGATCAATACCAATTGCACAGTCGGGAACAAACCCAGGAGGTAGATGATAAACTCCAGGAGCCGTCTTCAGACCATTCTTCTAAGAATTCCGATCTTCCACACTTTATAGCACAATCTAGAAGCTGGTGGATACGGGGTAACATGGGCTTTTCAGACGATTAGGGTGTCTACGCCAGTTTGTTGGGTCTGTCTTGGTTTGAGCAACGGAAGTTTCAGTTTGTCAGTATGCTAATGTGCTAAGTTTTTGCAGCAAAGGATTAAAGAAAGAGTCGAGGGTCCCAAACTGAGGGCTAAAAGTGACCAGTGGATCTGGCATACATTATCCACCTGCTTGGTCCTTGTCACCCAGGCAGTGATGTTGGCACCAGTGACCTGTGGTTCCGAGCAGTGGCCCATGCATCGTTCTCTGAGGGAGGTGACTAAAGCTTGCCACCTCTGTATGGTAGCCCAGCACGGCCAGCCTTTCACTCTGAGCGTGGGCTCACTGCTGGACTGTGTAGAGACACAATGAATTTTATCATTCACACTGTGAATGCTGCAACAATTACATTTTCTATACTCTTCCTTGTTTAGTTGCTTAAATAACTAAATTGCCAGCAAGCATGTACATATGTATTTTATTTGTATCTTTGATTAGTCACGCTATGAATCACTACTGTCAATGTTAATTGACTGACGAGATTAAAATGAAAGTATTTGTGTATTAGAAATAATGTTAACAGATGACAAAACAACACGTATTGCATAATAATTAATTTTAGAATAAATAGAATAGTAAATAATTTTAGAATATTTTGGCTGGGAAGGTTGTGTGCCCCATTGGCTTTAAAATGTTGGTAATTCTAAGGGAAAGTCTCTGGCCCAAGACTCCCGGCACAACCAAAAGCCATTCCCATCTCTAATGTTGGCTAGGCTTGGGGTCAGAATGCAAAGGGATGTTGGCATGTAAACGCTACACACACGCCACAGTTACAAGGCAGTGTGGCCCAGTGAGAGGACTGCAGCCCAGGGGGCCATTGACGTATCCAGGCTCCTGCAGGAGCTTTCCCACAGAGCACAGTAACATTGCCCACAGGTACCTATCTGAAAGAGAGAACAAAGCCATTTGAACAATTAAAGGTAAGGATGCGATGGGGTTGGTATGCTAGTTCTGCACAGAGGCACACGGTCCCAAGGATTTGTGAGTTTATAGAACAAATGACTTTGCAAAAAAAAAAAATTCATTTATTTTTTGATGCTGCTTACACTCAAGAAATCAGTTTTTAATGTTCGTAGGAAGCAGATGCTAAACTGCAGCCGCTAACTGGCGATTGTGTCTCCGAAAGCAGTAAAAGCCGACTTCTTTATTAAGTTTACTGTTAAATGAGCAAAGGAAGACAAGCATCTCCCCCATCAGCAAAGCAAAGACAACATCTGTGCGGGAGAAAGGCAGGATGGCAGTCGGGGTGGGTTCATGGTTCTGGAAGCAACGATTGGCTGGTAAGTACCGAACATTTTATCCAAGATCTAAAAATGAAATCAGATCTGGACTATAATCCCGAAATGTCTTTTCCCTTCCTTCTTCCTGTCTCCTTCCTTCCCTTCTTCCCCTTCCTTCCTCCTCTGTGTTCTGAGGATGCTGGTGAAGATGAACCCTCATCTGTGGAGACAGGGCTAGGACTCGAAGGTCAAAACTGTGAGCACAGGCCCTCTTAGCCCATCACCAATGCAGGACACAGGAAGACACTGCTCTTTAGGAAGTCACGTCCACGCACAGCTGGAGTTAGTCTTGGTTCTTGTCTCTCTTCCCTTTTTCTTTCTAGAGAGACTTCACTTTAACGCTTATTTGGAAACAATAAAGGACAATTTTCTTTCCTTTTTTTTTTTTTTTTTTTTTTTTTTTTTTTTTTTTTTTTTTAGTTTTCCGAAACAGGGTTTCCCTGTGTAGCCTTGACTGTCTTGGAACTCATTCTATAGGCCAGGCTGGCCTTGAACTCACAGAGATCTGCCCGCCTCTGCCTCCCGAGTGTTGGGATTAAAGGTGTATGCCACCATCGCCTGGCATGAATGAATGACAGTTTTCAAATGAGCCAGAGAAGACTCGGTCCATGAGATTTGGACTTGTTGCCCTGGCTTGGCACTTTAAAAGCTGAGAGAACTGTGTCCCTCGTAAAGGCCAACTCAGAGCTAGCTCAGGAGTCAAGGCAGACTTTTTGCTTTAACGCTTTTGTTGTCTGGTTATTAAAATCACATGGAGTCTTTGCTACTCTTCTTAAAAATAACCAAAGCTAACTCCAGCTGTGCATGGACACAACCTTGTAAGGAACCAGTGCCTTCCTGTCTCCTGCATTGGTCACGAGGTCAACTTGGGCTGAGAGCGCCTTGTGCACACAGTTTTGACCTTCGAGGCCTAGTCCCGTCTCCACAGATGAGGGTTCATCCTTCACAGCCTCCTCAGAACATGAAGTTTATACATTGGTTAAGAGACTCTGTGCTCAGGGATGGGATGCAGCTCAGCATTTGCCTAGCATGCTCAATGCCCTAGTGCTGACCTCACAACTGTGAGGATTTAAAAATAATGATAAATAAAAGCAGGGGTGGGGGTGGGGTGGGGGTGGGGTGGGGGTGGAGAGCTCCACAATTAAGAGCACTTGCTGCCCTCGCAGAGGACCTAGTCTGGTGCCCAACACCCTCATCAGGTGGCTCACAGCCACCTGGAACTCCAGCTCCAGGGGATCTAATGGCCTCTCCTGGCCTCTGTGGTCACCTGCACTAACACGGCTCACATATAGACAAGCAGGCACACAGGCACACACACACACACACACACACACACACACACACACACACACACGGTGTGTCTACCAGTATGACTGGCACAAGCTGGAGAGAATACAGACTTTTCAGCCGTATCAAACCACACCCTTGCCATTTTCTACCTCCAACACACCCAAGTGAGGAACACACCTGAGAAACACACCTGAGCCCCCCACTTCACAACACACCTTGTCCCAGACTCTATTCCTTCCTGTATATCCACCCTCAGGCTTGATATCTTCATTTCATAATAAGCAAGAAACCACGGATCTGTTTCTTTAAGGGACTGATTGAAAACCACATTGTTTCAAAAATGAGAATTGGAAGCCAGGTCTTATCTTGAAGGCCCCACTCTTTGAGAACAGCAAGAGGTGGGGGTGTGGAGCTAACTATTCTCTACCCCAGATACTTCCTGGACCCACAGCACACAGGGTTCACCCCAGAGAAAATTTGAGATGAATAAGTACATCTGCACCCTTATGGTGGGTGCTGCAGAAGAGATTTCAGCAGGAAACAAGGATGTCGGGTGGAGAGGAACGGCTCTTTTGAGGCATCATAAGCTCAGCCTTTGGGACTGAGGCTCTGGATGGAACTAGAGACGAGGGCACTATTAAACCCTACGCCAGAAAGAGGAGCAGCAACAGCAGTGACAGAGGAGCCTGACACTGAGTCTCTGAGAAGTCCTTAGCCTAGCCATGTCTACCTCCCGACACTGAGTCTCTGAGAAGTCCTTAGCCTAGCCATGTCTACCTCCCGACACTGAGTCTCTGAGAAGTCCTTAGCCTAGCCATGTGCACCTCCCAACACTGAGTCTCTGAGAAGTCCTTAGCCTAGCCATGTCTACCTCCCAACACTGAGTCTCTGAGAAGTCCTTAGCCTAGCCATGTCTACCTCCCGACACTGAGTCTCTGAGAAGTCCTTAGCCTAGCCATGTCTACCTCCCGACACTGAGTCTCTGAGAAGTCCTTAGCCTAGCCATGTCTACCTCCCAACACTGAGTCTCTGAGAAGTCCTTAGCCTAGCCATGTCTACCTCCCGACACTGAGTCTCTGAGAAGTCCTTAGCCGAATGGATCCCAGAGGACATGAGACAGGAAGAGCCCCAATGCCTTGGTGTAGGCCCTGGCTTGAGCTCTCCTTTGGAGCTAGCCTATTCTCTCCCCCAGGTACTGGAAAGTAGAGACTCTAAGCCAGTCTCATGTGTCCTATGGTCACAGGAACTATGGAACAGCAGGACTATGGGGGACTGAAAGGCTTTTTAGATAGGATGAACTGGGCTGCTAAGTCCACCTGACCCAGATCCATACAGGGGACAAACATTTGGAAGAGGCTGGACAATGATCAAATGGTCCTTACCAATGCTCTTCTCCTAGGCAGGACCATGGAACAAAAATCTAATGTGTGTACACATACACATTGGAAAAGTGGGAAACCCTAATTAATGGAACTGACTTTAAACTGGTGAGATCTGAGTTTTCTGCAACCAGGTAGAATAAGACTTTGAGCTAGAAACTTAGAAAATAAAAGCTACATTTATTTTTATCCGAAACATGTGGACTTACTATTTATTCCTATGCGGCTCACTTACTTTCAAAGGGTCAATTAAAACATTTTTCAAATACACATTCCAGTGTCACTAGGAAAAAGAAAAACATTGTCCTAAAAATAGAGCAGAGAGTTAAAATAGAATTGGCCATGAATACTCCAAGTAGGGAAGACACAACGGTTCCAGATCAGTAGCTGAGGTCCCCAGGCTGGTGACTTCTGGTTTCTTTGCTCAGCACCACATATCTCCACTGGAGCATTTAACCCCAGTGATGAATTCAGCGTGGGCAGGGAGGAGAAGGCTGCCTCAGGTCCCAGAAGGTCCCTCCCAAGTCTCTGTACAGGAGTACAGTAGGGACTTAGAGAATTAAGTGAATCTACAGCCAGCTGTGGTGGCTCCTGCTTCCCGGTGCTGGGGAGGCTGAGATGGGGGGATTGCCTTGAGTCAAAGGCAACCTGAGCTAAGACATAGTAAGACCCTGCCTCAAACCAAAAACCAAAAATAAACCAAGAGGAAGAGGAGGAGGAGGCAACCATCATCATCGATGTCATCGGCGGCGGCAGCAGCAGCAGCAGCAGCATGAGTCAGTGGCTCGTTCCTATACATCCCAGCTACTCAAACACTAAGGCTAGCCTGGGCTAAACAGCTCAGCACCAGCCCAAGCAACTCCTAAGACTTTCTTTCAAAATCAGAAACACAGAGCCCTGGGACCGAAGCTCGGTGGTGGAGCAGCTGCCTGGTATGTGCGAACCTCAGATGTCATCTCCAAAAGAAAAGAGATGAACGGAGCCGTAACAGTTGGCACATATGTATACCCTCAGGAGGTTGAGGCAGGGGGATCACAGGTTCTAGTTGGATGCTGATCTGGGGTACATAGTTCGATCCTGTTTCGAGGGAGGAAAGAAAAGGGGAGCAAACAAGGGAGGACCAGAAAGGAGACAGTGGAGGGGGATGGGAGAGGGAGGGGACAGGGAGGGGGGGAGGACAGAGGTCCAGGGGAGGAAAAGATGAGGTGGTATGCTCAAAGGCAACTTGATTCTTTTTCAATTGAGCTTGGATATCTAGGACTTGCCCACCAAATGGAGACATGGCTTCAGCTCTCTGCTGTGAGGCAGAGTGATTGGGCAGGGCAGAAAGGTTTCTAGCAAACGAAGTGGCTGGGGCTGGGGTGTGAATGGGAGCCACAGTTTATGAACAAAGATCATGGTGTTCTCGGAGCAAAAATACACTTGGGTTCAGGCAGAGCTCTGGTCCTGGCTCTGACTCCCATGGGCTTAAGCAAAAGGATGCAGGATGTGAACTGCTAAGCACAAGGATGCAGGATGTGAACTGCTAAGCACAAGGATCCAGGATGGCCGCCACGGTCTTTTCCCTGACGCTCTTCAGGAAGCTCAGCACTGCGGTGCCCCCAGTGCCCCTGTCCTCCGAGGCATGAGGTGAGAGTTGGCTCGGCATCCTGCTCCTGGCCTTGGCAGCAGCGGAGATGATGTATCGTGCCACCATGTTGATGTGGTAACTGCGCAGCTCGACCAGCGCCTCCACACACTGGTTATAGGCCATCAGGCAGCACCCAGCACCAGAGGTCAGTACGTAGTCCCTCAGTGAAGGAGCTGAATGGAGGTCCTCCAGGAAGGCCTTATGGGAAGGAGGCATGTAGTCTCTCATTCTGTGCAGAAAGCCTACTGAAAAGAAACAGCCCAGAGTAACACCTTAGCTCAAGGCTGACGTTCAGGACCCTTTGTCTCCTGCTCCAGACATGCTAGGACCAGAAATGTTGGATAGGGTTCTCACTCAGCCTAGTTAGGCTTTTGTTATAGTTGCCAAATGCTCAGATGTACAGGAGATACAGACGAGAAGAAGAAGCAAGCATCTCTCAGTTAATAAAGTTGGACAGGAATCTACTCGCTAGGGTGTGCATATCCCAAGCCGAACATGAATAACATGATGTTTCCCCGCTAAGGGCTATGAGGCATGTCTACAAGCATGCACACAGACCTTACACTGATTGGTGAAACACCCTGGTGAATTCTGTTTGCTAGATGCTTCTTACAGGGGGTGGGGAGTCAGGGGTGGAGCCAAGGTAACTGAAGTTACCAAGTACATAGAGAAGATATTGGGAAACAGGTATTTTAGCAAAGACCCTCTCTGGGTCAAAGCCAAAATACTGAAAGCTCCAGTGTTTACCAGAAAAATCATTACACCTTTAACTAATGTGGGGGTTTTTATTTGTATGTTTTTGTTTTTTGTTGTTGTTATTTTGTTTTTGTTTTGTTTATAGAGAGTCAATAACTAACATCAAATGCTGAAATCCAGGAACAGCCCTGCTGGTACCAGAGAACCAGCTTGTGCAGAATTTCAATCCTTTTTGGTTCTGATCCAAGTTAAAGTTTGGTAGCATGATATACCTTTTTTGTACCTGTTCAGGGCATAGCTCTATGCTGGCAGGCAAAGCAATAACTATTTTCAAAGGCTTCAAAGTGATGGGCTCCCTCTTCTGGTCCACATGCATTCAGCGGGAGGCTGGACAATTTCATGAGAAGGGCTCCATTACTGGCTGCTTCAGACTGGGCCACACAAGGTCCGAGCCTTTGAATTTACAGATTAGGGACCCAAGCCCACAGGACAGTGAACAGCCCAGGTCACAGCTACGTTTTAAAACTTGGAAACAAACCCAAGATCCTGATGAGGTCTGATGCCCTGGTATTGACTAACATGCACACAGTTGCCTGGGGGTTTAGGCAGGTATAAACTTCAGGACATTTTCATTTACACCTGGTTTTATAAGTCGGTAAAAATGCCTCCCTATTCTGCCTAATTCTCCCCTTGAGAGGACAGATGAGATGGGATGGTTGCTTACCACTTCCCTTGCAATGCCGAATGCCCAGGAACTCATCGAAGGCCGGAAGCACAGAGCTCTGGGCTGCGCTTCCTCCCGAGTACCTCAGAGGCTCTGTGGCCACACCCTCATAGACCAGCCCCAGGGGCATGGCTGGGTTGTCCTTCCACCTAGGCAGGAGCCAAAAAGAAGAAGAAAGAAAAGAAAGAGTGGAGAAGGCTGCTCCAGGGAACAGCGCCTTCTCTGCCGTGAACCCCCAGCCAGCGGGGACGTGGGCATGGCATGAACGGTGGTTTGAGGAACGGAGAGTGAATCTTGCCAGAGTATCCAAGGAGGTGTTAGCTCAACTCCAGCTTCACACCGTGCCATGGTAATGGAGGCCTTCTCTGCCCCATTTAAAGGATTCTTCCAGAGAGGCGGAGGACGGGAATCTTCCTCACTGGTCCTACTGCAGTGATTTAAACAGCTCCGTCATATTCGTGCATCTGTGACATCAACGCCACCAACAGAACAATTAAGAGTCTCTGAACGAGTCCCCACTTCCTGTGCTCGTCTCAAACTCTATAGCCACCCCCACCAACACGCTTCCCAATTACACACAAGCACACACAGACACCCAACTGCTATCCCCTGAAACACTGAAATGCTCGTAGCGTTACACTGGTGGATTGGCTTTTATTTCTCCGTGAGACCTGTCATCAAATGGTTTGGGTTTGTCACAGCAGGCATTGATAACAAGCATGGCTAACAAGAGCAGCAATGAACCCAGGTTGTGGGCACCAAAGCCTACAGACGGCTGCAAGGACGAAGCCTGGGGCCCCTGCCCACACGCCTCTCCTTCCCCCTCTCTCCTCTTCATGTCCATCTCTTTCCACCTCTCTCTCTTATATTCACCCCCCATGACTTTTCCTAGTCTTGACTGCTACCTGAAGCACAGCAAAGCAGAGCACATCACGCTGGCACCTGTGGTGCCTACCCTTTACAAACGCAAGCACACTCACTTTCTCACCCTGGCCACGCGGCAGTAGATGAGGCTAGGCAAGTTTTACCTTCTTTCCTAAAGTGACAAAGACCTGAGCTCAGTTCCCAGACTGAACATACCAAGATAACAGGACCTGACACACTCAACTTGCCTTCCGAAGTTACATGTCTGTAGTCCTTTTCCTAAGAACTTTATCACATTCTACCTCCACCAAGAAGCGTGTTTTCCTCTTTTGCCAACGAACAAAGCATCCCCTGGCTGACAGGGTAAGTAGCAGGTTTATACCGGTGTCTCTGCTCCTTGTCATTCTAAGTCATTGTGTTCAAAGAAGGGACATGTGGACCCCAGATACTCAACAACCACAGGCTGACTCCCCTGCCTGCATGCTGAACCTCTGGAAACTCTGCTCTGGGGTTGCAAATGCAGGAGGAGCCAGGTTGACCCATTTGGTGGCTGTTTTGGGGTCAACTGCCCCAGGAATTTCCATGGTTATCAACCTTCAGGAAGGAGGTACAGCACAGGAAGCAGAAGGGGGGGATACACAAGAAGGTGGGGGCCCACAGGCTGTGGGACAAGGTCTCTATTCTGGGAAGATACAGAATTGAAGCTCAACTCTGCTGTGCTAGTTGTCTGGCCTGGCTTATCACATTTAACTTCTCAGAACCTTGGCTTCCTCATCTGAGTAGTATGAGTATGAACTGAAGTCCCTGGGTAGGGGAGGCATGCCTGGGTTAAAGATTCTACAAGGCTAATCAACTGACTGGTCATGGAGAGTTGGAAGGTTGATGATCCAGAGCCAAATATCGCTGGGCTATCTTTAACTCCTGTCTGACCCAGTATCTCTGCGACTCTTTGTACTGACTTAACAGACACGTTTCCACCACCCCACCGCTGAAAGCGCCATCACATGCCATCTACATGTGACCGTGTATAGAGCTGTCCTTGTTTACTATAACTTGCCTATCTGAGGTCCCCATCAGTGTACCCACAAAATCCCTCGGTTGGTAACTTTCTTTTGTCCTTGAACTCCAAAAACTCGTCCATTCATTCCCACACCGGACCATGTTATTTGGGGACAACTTGAATCTGTGTTTCTGGGCACTCATGTTTGGCCAAAGAATAAACTAACCCTTATTCCTTTGAAGTAAGAGCTGTGTTTTGCACTGACATTCATATTTATCTTATTGGTCACTGTAAGAACTAACTCAAGTACTATTTGCCTGGAACAGATTAAACATCCAGTAAGTACCAGCCATTTAGTGTTCTAGCAACCCGGGAGAGTGAGAATGCCCGCCACTGCTCTCATCTCTCAGCCACAGTGGACAAGCCTTTCTGAGCCTCCATTTCCCTAGTTTGTGGGGAAACCTGCTTCCCGAACCTGTTCTGGGAGTTGAATGGGCTTCAGAGGGGTCTGTGAACAAACAGCCCAAAGAATATCAGAGTTCGGTGCTAGTGAAACAGGAGAGCGACACTTTATGAGGAAGTTAACCCCCAGTGCAGGAGTTCCCCCTTCAAGTATGTCACAGCCAGAAGACTCAAGCCAAGCGCTTGAAAAAGCCCAGCTAGCCTGAGAGAACGATCAGACGTGGCGGAGGCAGAGAACACACCAGGATGTGTCCATTCATCACACACTGGAGTGGCTGTGCCAAAGCCGGCCATGCTGACCGTGACAGTCACTGCAGGCAGATGGCAGAGAACCCGGTCTCCCTTCACACTCCACACTCCACAGCTATGTGAGACTCGCCATCTCACCGAGTAGGTGAGCATCTCTCACAGACACTCACAGGCTGGGCCGCTGTTTGTGAAGGGATGGGGCCGTTTTCATTTCCGATCTCTACGGTAAAGTTATTTTTAGCCCTTCTGGTGTTATTTCTAGCAATCCCCAGGAAAGGGGAAGTTGGAGGAGACAAGAAAAATGAAGTGACATTTCCCCCCCGGAGGAGTGCCTGGCCTTCCAGGGAACTGTGATGGGCTGGGAACTCATTTCCACATGAAATCCTCTCCTTTAAAAAGTGCGTTTGAAGAAGCAAATGAGAAACCCTGGACCAAAAGCAAGATGGATGCAGAGTGGGGAAACTGACGTTTTAAAGACAAGACTAATGGAAGTTCTCAACAATGCAGATGTTTTGAAACTACAGCTACACTTAGGATTTGGTCCGGCCACTTAGCTGCACAGGAAACAGCCTCAGGGACAGGAGCCGAGGACAGGCTCTATGTAGACACCAGAGTAAAAAGTGTCACTACCCAGAACTTATTTTGACGAAAACCACGCTCCCTTCTGGTTCCTGTCAGGCCTGTGACAAAAGAGGAAGTAGAATTTATTCCTTTGAAAGACCCTGGTGGGCAGAATTCTAAAATTAGTCCCCCAAGATTACCAGCTGAATTCCTCGGACGCTTAATACGATGAGATGTTCCCGTCACTGTGATGTATTATTACATGGTGAGGCGGAAGGGCTGTTCAGATGTAATGAAGGTTGCTGATCAGTTTAGCCTTCGTGTGGGAATTTCCCTGACTCATCCAACTGCACTGAACCCAACCACATGAGCCCTTTTAAGGGAAGCTGCCCCTGGCTGGTGGCCAAGGGAGAAGTCAGGACAACGTGTAGTTCTAGAAAAATTCCAAGTGCCACCACTGCGTCAGAAGACAGAATTGGTAGGGTGAAGGGGCAACAGAGGAAGCCTCTAGCAGCCCAGATATCATCTACACACACACACACACACACACACACACACACACACACACACACCAAAGCAAAACCTTGATCTGCTCGCACTAACTGAGTTGGGAGGCGAGGTTTCCCTCACATTCTCAGCGAAAGCCACCTTGGCCTAGGCATGTTGGTGTACATAGACCCAGAACCCCAGAGCAAAGGAGGCTGAGCAAAGAAAACACAAGTTCGAGACCTGCTTGGGCTACATAGTGAGATTGCGTCTCAACAATCCCATAATGAGAGTCCAACCCTCCGACTCCCTTGACTTCGGACCCCTAGAGACCCTAACAGAAAGCCGTCTGGGCTTGCCTGGGCTTTGGGCCCACAGAACTGAGGGAACAGACAGGTGTTTAAAGCTGCTGAACACATGGTGGTGGTGTATACCACTACAGAGAGCTGACAGGGGCTTCACAGCAGGGAAAAGCCCGGGGAGGCCTGACTCACTGACCGGATCCGGCATACGCTTGCTGTAGGGTCTCATTAAAAAAAAAAAGAGGCCTATGTTACTTCTTAGATCCAAACTGTCGCCATGGGGAAACACTTGAAAGAATCGGCCTATCAGAATGTGAAGCTGTTTTGGTGTGGTTAGAGGTTTGGTCCTTGGACCCTTGATCTTACCGCTTTGGCTGTATCATGGTGGAGAGAACATGGAAGAGCAAGGCTGATGATCTGAGCGCTGGGGTCTCCCAAGTCCTTCAAGGGCATAATTTCCCTCCAGAAGTGTCTGCTTTCTATGCTTCCATAACTTCTCATTAGCACCATAGGCTGGCAGCCAAGCCTTCAGCACACGGCCTTCGGGGCTGGTTAGAATCCACACCGTATGCCCCTGTAGCTCATTGGCATCTGTATTTCTCTCAAATTACTCTCTGGAAATCTTGTTTCTAATCTTTACAATTCACCACCCAAGCCAGACCCCCTCTTAAAGTGTCCCACAGCTCTCTAAATTAAAGGAAGTGCATTATATATGCGTCCATTTCGTTTGTCTCCCAAGGGGACACAGCAATAATAGATTCAGCATTTGGTCTGTCTCCTGCAGAGTCCAGGCACAGCTTAGAGTCTTCCTCTCAACAGCAACCCATGCCCCTCCAAGTCAACAAGACACAAACATTCGAAAGTGACTCAACTCTGGTAGTTGGTGAATTGGATGACAATCTGATTAAGGTATGTCAAAGGTAGGAATAACTGGGAGAAGAAATGTGCTCAATATGAGTGTGTGTGTGTGTGTGTGTGTGTGTGTGTGTGTGTGTGTGTGTGAAGAGAGAAGGAGAGAGAGAGAGAGAGAGAGAGAGAGAGAGAGAGAGAGAGAGAGAGAGAAGAGGGGAAGGGGAGGGAGACAGAAGGAGAGAGACAGACAGAGAGGTAGGGCATCATATAGCCATGAGACAAAACAAAGGTACCCAGAATCGGTGAAGAATGGCCTAGCAAGGGCCTTGGACTATTCCTGCTACCACACAGCAAAACAGCCAAACTGTATCCCCACAACTCGGAAGGCCAGGGACTCTAAGAGCAGGGCAGCGATGGTTCAGTCAGATGAAGACCTGGACCCTGGCTTCCAGATGGGTCCCTGGATGCTATGCCCTCATAAGGTCAAAGGGCAAAGGGGAAAAATGTGACTATTACTTTTTGGCCTTCCTCTCCCCTACCCCTTTCACTCTCCTCTCTCTCCTCCTCCTCCTCTTCTCCTTCCCCTCCACACCTCTTTCCCTACTCCTATTGTTTATTTTTTGTCCCTGACATTAAGTTGGGCTTCTAAGAGGACCCAAGGCTCCAGTCCGGTGGCTAATGACAACCCCTTCGCACATAAGGACCCAGGCTTGGAGCCCTTTTCCTGCTGATGGCGCCTGGGTTCCGTCCTCCTAGAGTGGAATCAGGCGGTGACTGCCAGCTTCGGTCACTTGCTATATTCCTTACTTTAGGAAGCTTCTGTCTGTCTGTCCTCACATCAGTTTGGGAAACTGTACAGAGCTCTCAGGCAGGAAACCAACTGGACTGTACTTACCCAGAGAGGAAGAGCCGGATGACTGTGTAAAATATGTCTGGGTCTACATAATCTGGAAAACAATCAAATGTCAACTTTACCACAGGCAAAATGCAATTGGCCACAGGTGCCCGGACCCTTCTGCTTTCCTGGGGCTCCCCCACTCCTATCTGATCTATGCAGAGCCCAGAATGGAAGCAACAAGCACAGATGGAATGTTCCCTTGCAGAGGGGCATGGGCCCTCCCAGGGCTGTTAACCCATTCCTTATGCCAGCCTCCTCTGTTTGCGGTTTTTGGTATTTCGGTTTTCTGCACTTCACCACCACCACTAAGAGATTAAGACTATCCTTTTAAAAAGTAATACTTTAAATAAGCATGATGTGTTAGAGAATATGGTAAGCTAAGAGAGGAAAAGCAGATGACCAATGTCCAGAAGTTCCTGTGTCAGCTGAGGGCTTCCCAGGGGTTGTCACTGCAGGTCAACAAGGCTATTAACCCCAAGCGGCATTGGCCAGCATGGGCAGCCATGCTTGGGGAGGATGGACTCTGTTCTGCATGGCCTCCTACCTAAGAAAGTGTGCCATCATGGCTATATAAATTCCAAACATCTTCGATCAGCTTTGAATGGTTGATCTCACTACATTACTGAAGGTCCTCTGCCTTCTGGAAACTAGTCCACATTTATCTTACATTTCTTTGTTTCTGAGAGAAAAAGAAACATCCTTTGATAAAGTCTAACTAATAACACACTCTTCCGATCACTTTCCCTGTTCTCTTATCACACATGGAGTCTAGTTCTTTGTCCCTTCTCCCTGTCCATTTTCTCTGAAGCCTGCAAGACCTGGGATGGTACAGCCTCAACGTTTTGAGACACCCCTCCGTGTGGCCACACTCTCTCATCTCAAGTGTGACTATGTCCCATGCGCTAGATTGTTGTCTGGGGTCTCTCCTGGGTACTGGTGTTCTCTCTCATCCATATTGTTAAGTATATATACAGCTCCTTGCAGAAGAAGTAATAGTGCGTACTGAATTACTCTTTTATACAACTTAATGTGTTAAAGGTAAAGCCAAGTGATCACTGTGATAGATACAACAGGATTTACATGAAAATGTAAAATATATTCAGTGGATATTTTAAAAGTGATTCATGAAAGAAGGATCAATACTTCCCTTTGGTACTGTATTAGCACTCCTAGCCAGAAGAAAGAAAGAAAAGTTGTAAGAATTAATGATGACTAGATGGAAAGGAGAAGACATTTCATGATGAAACCAAATGTAAGCAATATGTATCTTCACATCCAGCTCTACAAAAGGCACTAGACAGAAAACTCCAGCCTAAAGAGGTTAACCACACCAAGAAAACACACAGAGTAAGTAATCCCAGACCAGCAAATCAAAAGAGGGGAAACACGTGCACACACACACACACACACACACACACACACACACACACACACGCACGCGCACATGCACACACACCATCACCACCACAACCACCACAACAAAATAACAGGAATCAAACACCACTTATTGATTACTCTCAAGACCAAAGTTCTCAATTCCCCAATAAAAAGACACTGCCTGATGGAATGGACTCAAAAGCAGGATCCATTCTTCTGCTGCATCCAAGAAACACACCTTAACATCAAGGATAGACATCACCTAAGGGTAAAGGGATAGAAAAAGATATTCTAACCAAATGACCTAAGGAGAAAGCTGCTGTGGCCATTTTAATATCTGACAAACTAAACTTTAAATCAAAACTAATCAGAAGAGATAGGGAATAACACTACTCAAAGGAAAAAAATCCACCATAAGGATATTGCAATTCTCAACATCTGTGTACCAAACACAAAGACACCTAAGTTCATAAAAGAAACACTACTCAGCATTAAATCACATATTGATTGACCTCAAGATCCACTCTTGGACATATACCCAAAGGACACTTCATCCTACCACAAGGACACTTGCTTAACTATGTTTATTGTTGCTCTATTCATAATAGCCAGAAATTGAAAAGAACCCAGATGTCCTTCAACAGATGAATGAATAAAGAAAATGTGGTGCATTTGTGCAATGGACTATTACTCAGTTGCTTAAGAAAAACTAAAACTATGAAATTCACAGGTAAATAGATGGAACTAGAAAGCAATCATCCTGTGTGAGGTAACCCGGACCCAGAAAGATAAATATAGTATGCATTCACTTATAGGTGGATATTAGCTGATAAGTCAGTGGTAACCAAGCTACAGTCAGTAGAACTGGAGATTAGGTATAGAACAGGGGACTAAATAGAATAGATAATTAAAGATGGGGAGGGGAGGGGGTTACAACAGGAGAATCAAGTGAGGATGGGGAAGGAAAAGGAGCGTGAGGGAGGGAATACAAGGAGAGATAGTTAAAATTAAGGGTCATTTGAGGAGTAGTTTAGAAGCCTAATGTAATAGAAGTTTCCTAAAATATATACATACATGAAAGTGATCTCAATAAAATCACAAAAACAATGGGGGACACAGAGCCCCAAGAAGACACCTCTTGTCATCAAATAAAGCCTCTGGTACAGTGATTGGGTTGAGCACCTGCTAAGAATCTAAGACAAAAAGGGCTTCAGTCTGACTGGGCTGTAAAACCTTCCTGGAGCCACTGTGTGGTCCATGAATCCGAGCCCATGACACAGGTGAGGGAGGAGGTTTGGAAGGATGCTACTGAGGCCAGGCAAGAGACATGATGGCGTCAACAAAGGAACCGATGTAAACAGCATTCAAGAAAGCAACTCCAGTTAAGTGTGGTGGTGAAGTGTTGTTGCCTCTAGCCACTGAAAAGCAATGCAGGGGTTCTTGCTAAAGTGAAAGAAAGAAAGAAAGGAAGGAAGGAAGGAAGGAAGGAAGGAAGGAAGGAAGGAAGGAAGGAAGGAAGGAAGGAAGGAAAAGAAAGAAAGAAAAAGAAAGGATGAAAGAAAAACACCAGAAAGTAGCCAAAGAGCCATGAAGAAATCCAGGAACCACCAGGAAAACACAAAACCAAACAGGAAGGTAGTTCTGTGGGGAACACACTTGCCAATCCCGACAGGCTTTGGCTCTGGGTGGTGCAGCCAGAGGAAGGCCGTGGGCTTAGTTCAGGGGTAAATTTCACACCCATGCCCTCTGGCATTAACTTGGCATCTGCCAGCGCTGACGCCTCCACCTTCAGTGTGAAGCAGCCCCAGCTTGCCCAGCTTGCCCAGCTTGCCACACGCAATGAAATGAAAGTGAACTTGATACAGAACAAAGCAAAATTAAAATAATTCATGCCTGGAAAGTTGGAGTTGTATGATGCAGATGTTCAGTCCAAATGTAATTGCCTGATTGGTCCTTGGACCTCAGTTTCCAAGTTGACTTGATGTAGTTTAGCATCTCCAGGAACCAGGAAGAATGGAGTACAAGCATTTTCTTCCTCCTTCTTAAGGACTGGCTTACGGGTGATATTTTATGAATAATCAGCATGGCGTGGTTTAAAAAAAAAATCAAATGCACAAGATAACATGACAACCAGTAAGAATGAGTGGAAAAACAGAAATAAGAATCAAGAAATAGCGACGAAGTCGATACAAGCAGCCAGGGGGAGAAGACAGAGCGACCACAGCTCAGGCCTCAAACACTGGAGCCAGAAGACCACATACAGACATGCTCTGCCTGCAAAGATTTGGTTGCTACGAAAATATTATTCTAGTCCTGGAGAGGAAGGAGGCAGTTTTCAGGCAACAGAGCTTGGCATCTTCTAATCTATCAGCAGATACGTCTTAAAGAAATCCTAAAGGGAGCTCCTGGTTAGCTTCAGCTGTCACCTTGATATAGCCCTGAGGTATCTGAAAGAGTCTGAGCTGGGATATTTCCCCCAACAGATTGGCCTGTGGGCCCATGGCAGGGGTGCGGTGGGTTATTTCTTGATTGCTAAGTGATGAGAGAGGGGCTTCATCCATGGGCAGGTAGAAGAAAGGTAGCGGACAGTAAACATAAGAGCAAGGTAGTAGTAGGCTGTGTTTTTTGTAGTTCCTGCTGACTTCCCTCAGTACTGGCCTGTGACCTGGAAGTGTAAGCCAAATAACCCCCTTCCTCCCCAAGCTGCTTTTGCACGAGGGTCTTCTGACAGCCAGAGAAAGAAAACCAGAAGGGGGCAAATAAATACGTGCAGGAGAGAGCAGGGTGAGGAAGGTTGGGAATACGTGGATAAATCAAAGTTAACCAAATCAGAGACAACTGTGGATGCTGGGGATGAGGGGCGCTGGGTGAGTACCTACGGAGCATGCTCAAGGGCCTGCACGCCATCCCCAGCAAGGCAGAAAACAAAACAAAAACCTACTGTTGGCATAGTTTTAGGTAGTTTGATACATTGTTCCCCTTAAAAGTCGTCTGTTAGAATTAAAAAATCTTCAGTGCACTGAGAGCTGCCTTGGGTACGATGTGTATTTGTTATCCTTGCTGTGACCCTGACCAAAAGCACCTTGGGGAGGAGAAGGGCTTATTTCATCTTCTAGCTTATATTCCGCCACCAAGGAAAGTCGGGACAGGAACCTGGCGGCAGGAACTGAAGCAGAAGCCATGGGAGAGTGCTGCTTACAGGCTGGTTCCTTATGGCTTGCTCAGCCTGTTTTCTTAGAGCAGCCAGGCCCCACCTACAGTGGACTGGGCTCTCGCACGTCAATCATTAATCAAGAAAATTGCCTATAGACTTGCTCCCAGGCAATTTGATGAAGATGTTTTTCTCAATTGAGGGTCCTCATCTCAGATGAACCTAGTTTGAGTCAAGTTGACAAAAAAAAAAATTAACCAGAACAGTGGGTATATGTTTTCACACCTGATGCTTAAACATGATTTTTTTAAAAAATGGGTTTAAGGAGTAAGTAAAACTGGATTTCAGGAAGCAGCTTACATAGTTTGGATACATGCAGATTGCTTAAGTAACTAATCCACCAGTGAAGGACAACTTTAGAAACAGAAACATGAGTGAAGTTAAGAGGGAATTTCCAGGTGATAATTTTCCATATGGGTTTAGAAAAAAAAAGTTCACAAAACAAAACTGAAAAGTCCTTTGACAAAATTAGATGATCGAATCAAAAGGGCCAGGCAGCAAAGGCTCACAGTCCAGCCCCCCACCCCCACCTCCCTCCTCGGAGGGCATCATTAAACACGATCAGAGGGGAACATTTGATGTCTCACTCCTATCAAAAGAACAATTCTACCCCTGTGTGTGCATGCCTGTGTTTTGTGTGTGCATAATGTATGGAGGCCAGAGGTCAATGTCGGGTGTCTCTCCCACACACGGAGTCTCTCATTGAGAGTTACAGCTCACTGATTCTACTACACTGGCTGCCACGAGCTCCAGGATCCTCCCATTCCCCCTCCCCAGCACTAGGATTACAGATGTGAACTGCACTCCCAGATGTTTGCTTGGGTACTGGGGATGGAGACTGTTTTAGTTAGGGTTTCTATTGCTGTGTAGAGACACCGTGACCACGGCAACTCTTACAAAGGAAAAACATTTAATTGGGGTGGCTTACAGTTTCAGAGGTTTAGTCCACTATCATCAATATGGCAGACAGGTTGCTGGAGAAGGAGCGGGCTGGCAGGCAACAGGAAGTAGTCCGAGGCACTGGGTGTGGCTTGAGCATATATGAGACCTCAAAGCCTACCCCCTCAGTGACACACTTCCTCCAACAAAGCCACACCTCCTACTTGTGACACCCCCCATGAGCTTATGGGGCCCAGTTACATTCAAACCACCACAGAGACTCAAATCCTTATGCTGCGCAGCCATTGTTTTACATGGGAGCATCTCCCCGGGTGCTTAAAAGAAAAAATGGTTAAGTGAGTCAGGCTGAAGCCAGACAGACCTTCTGTTGACTCCGAAGGAAGAACAAGAAATAAATTACTTTCTGGAGAAAAATAGGTAGCTTGAACTTCCTAAGGGGGAACTGACTCTTAGGGGCACGACCTGCTAACAAGCTACAGAATTATGCCTGGAAGCGGTTTAAATACTTGACACCCTGAAAATATTTTGGCTGTCCAACAGATCCCAAAACTCCCACCCAGGTGGGCCCTATAGGTAAGACATCCTCCAAAGACAGCCACACGGGTACACGGTGCTGAAGTAAGGCAAGTGACAGCAGATGACCATGGCAGATGTGTTTAGAACTGGGGTGGCCTCATGGGGAGTTGGATTATGAACACAGCGGTCTGGTTTTATTGTTTTAGCTGTTGGTGAGCAGTGTGTACAACAAGTATGTTAAGTTGGGCAAAGGCCTGGGGACCTGGCTTGCAGTGCAGTGGGCCTCTGATGTCCACAAAAGGCATTTTTATGGACCTGTATGCTAGGGAAAGAGTAAACCCAGGCCACTTGCTAAAGTTAGGAGCATTGGGTTTTCACATGGTGTCTCAGCACTCAAGATGGGAACTCGCTGGCCATTTCTGGCTTTCCCCTTCTCCTTACTGCTCTTTTGGTTGGAGGAATGTCAGAGGCCGGGACACATCCTCCATCCTGAGATGAGAGGAGGGCCTGCCCGCACTGTGAGGGGCTCATGGGATGGTATGGAGGGTGCTGTTACCATCTTTGAAAAGGTGTGAAGGCACGTTGCCCTCTTTCCCCATGTATGTGGATACAGCAAGTCATAGAACCTTGAAAATCCCATTGCATGGGGAAACTTGTCTTGGGATCAAATGGGGTGGAATGGGTACATCTGGGAGCTCCCCAGATCCTTGGGACTCTTTCAGGGGATCGTGAAGGTCTTTCTGGGCTTGTAACATGGTCAAAAACTAGCATTGGGGAAACTTGTGTTTGACACTACAGTGCACACAGTGTGACTCACTGGAGAGCCTCAGAACCTTCCCAACTACTCCAGTGTTCAACTTAGGATCTGGAGACACTTAAGAGGAACGATCCAGGGTGTCTTGGCAAAGCTGCTGTGCGTGTCACCAAGTGGGGAGCATTTGGGGAAATGAAATGGTACATCCATGAGAGCTTTAAGGTTAAATCCAAGGAAACGGAAAGTGGACGGGAAATACATAATCCTGTGACCTCCAGGGGACATCACAGAGCCTGGGATGACCACGTTTACTCAGTGTAAGGTGGCAACATTGCACCTTCTCCTTCCCACCCTGTGCCCTGTGGACACTACTGCCCAGAATCTTCCTTACATGAAGTCAAGACTCAGGGAAAAGAGTGTTTGAGCCTGTTTCTCACACAAAGGGACCACGCTCCTGCATCGAACCTGCCTTAAACGCCCAGCAAGCACACTTGATAGATTTCTGGGTTAATGAAAATTGTTTTGCACCTCCAGAACCAGAGTTAGCCACCAGGGAAGGGGGGCACCAGTTACTCCTTCCTTCAGCTCCTGCCAGCACTGGTCACAGAATTCTAAAGCCAGGTTCAGGTCTCTCAGAACCCACAGACAGGAAAAGCAAATGAATCCAGAGGGACTTAGGGACACCTCCACCAACAGCCCTGCTCCCAGCAGGCTAACCACGGAAGTTGAAACACAACCAACATTCCCCTTGGGACCCATCCAATCTCCCAGACTTCCACAAAAACTCAGCCTGGACCCTGAAGAAGGCAAACTACCCCCATGCACAGGAAAATATACAAAACAATTTTGCAAAAATGTTTCTATCACCTGAAAAAAAAATCTTTCTCTGGTTCCTTTGGTTTGTGCTAAACAAAGATAGAACACCAGCGCCATCTTGTGGAGAGCTGTACCATCATCCACTTAGGGACCCGCCCAGGTCCAGGCCCCTGGAGGCTCTACCCAAGGCTTCTTACCATGCATTTGGGCCAAGGTTCTGGTGATGTCCTGGATGGAGAGCCTCACCTGCTGCAGGGCCTGGAGCAGGGTGTCCTGGCTGTGTTGCAGAACGGCCTCCACTCCCTGAACCAGGGCCTAGGATTGAGATGCACTTTCTCAGTTCCCTACTTTCTGTTAAAATCCAAAGAGCAGGCAGATCCCGGGGGGAGCAACCCACACCACTGGCATAGTGCTGGAGTATCATAATCTATGACATCAGGGCCCTCAACGCTAATATTTTCTCGTTCCTTTTGGGTTTCCCATATCATGGTCGTTTCTACTCTGGCCTCCCCAGCTGGGACGTCCTCCCTGCAGAGCGCTTGTGTGGCATCGGACAGGTTCCGAAGACTCCCCAGTTTCTCGGCTCCATCAGCCCGGAAGCCCTCCTTGTCTTAGACTGATCTCCTCAGCTAGACTGATGAACTACCATCAGATGCTGAATCTTCCAGCGGACGAGGCAAATGGATGGGGACTGAAGTGACCACGGGATTTCACAACAGTGTGCGCATGTGCCTGGAACCCAGGGCTCGCACAGGCTAAGTTCCTGCTGGACCATGGAGCTACCCTCCGGCTCCTACTTTCACTTTTGAGAATGGAAGATTCTGCATTAATTATGTCAGGACTGGACACTCTATTGAACAGCAGGCATTCAATGAAGCCATAAATCCATCTTAATCTAGAGATAAGGGTGAGAGATGAAGGCTTCCACTTCATTGTCTATTGTCTTATACCCTGCCCAGCTAGAAGCCGTGAGTCCTGAAGGAAAAGAAATGAATTTTGCAGCCCCCAGGGCTGGGTCACCTGGGTGACCTCAATGATGCCTGCTATCTGGAAGAGACCATTTCTTCTGAGAGTTGCAAGAAATTCAACACACACACACACACACACACACACACACACACACACACCCTCAGGTCTTAACTCAGCTGACATTTCTGTAGAGAAGTTTGATCCTTTAAGCATAGATGTGCTTTTATCCGTCTTTTCACAGAATAGCCTTTTTCTTTTTAACCGATGTGACTCTAGCTTCTGCAGGACCATGAGCTGTGACAGCTAGTACAGTGTGTTCCACTACACTCTGCACGTGGTGCCTGTGTGTAGACGGAGGAATGGTCCACTCCAGGCTAAACGGGTGCTGACACCAGAGACTAGAACTCAGATCTCTTCCTTCAGACTTCACCAAGCAGGAGAAGGCCTGTGTCTGTCCATATGGAGAAACCCACCACAGGGAGGGGACAGAGTGAGTGCGTGACTGAAGATGGAGGGGCTGTGAAGCAAGAAGATACCTTAATGCCAGGCGCCGCTGCCTTCTCCACCAAAACCGTCACCAGTATGAAGGCCCGCAGGCTCTCTCCCCCGGGGAAAGAGACGATGGTTTCCAGGTTACTGGGAGAAAGAGGCCACCAGGAAAAAAGGAGACCATGTCGATTAGAGCCAAGTTGCCCTAACCTGAAGACCCTGGGTGTTTACCATGGCCTAGAGGATCATTGACCTTTGGCCCAGTGGAAGAGTCATGGGAACCTACCCTGTTGGACAGTTCTTAGCAAAAGGTTTCTGGTCCTTCGGGATCCCATCATTCTTGTGTAAAGCTAAGGGGTCTTAGAGCTAGAGTGGTCAAAGTGAATCCTGTGTTCCCTTTTACGGAACTGAAATTGTGGCTCAGGGAGGTGAAGCAGCTTATCTTCTTATCTAGGGGCATATAAACGATTGTTCATGGCCAGATCCAGCATAGTTTGAGAACTGAACCTAATCCTCCTCTGCTTCCCCCTACCCTTTTCTTTTCTTTGTGAGGCAGGGAGGGTCTCACCATTATGGCATATTGTCCTCAAATTCACAACCATCCTGCCCCTGCCTGCCAGGTGTGAAGATTATGGGTGTGTGCCTCTGGGCCTGGCTGGAGTCCTAACCTAGAATGAAATGCTGCCACAGAGCTGGGGCTGGAAGACTGTCAAGAGGGGACATTTCTAATCAGCTTGACATCTCCCATCAGATTCAAAGCTGACCCGATCAACAAATCAGAAGAAGTAGCGCCACGCATCTGCTTTACTTCCAGCAAGCATGAGCAAAGCCAAGACTCGAACCTCACAACATCAAAGCAGATGGGAGTCCCGCACTACCGTCTGCCGTCTGTCCAGCAGAGGTGTGTTCGCTCAGGGAATGATGTCGGCACCTTCCACCTACACTCTCCACAGAGTTGAGGGGGACGTGTGCTTGGTGCCACAGTGGCTTCCCGGCCACCTTTGCTCCTCAGGGAAGGCGGAGCCTCTGACTGTAGACCAGACCTACCCGCAAGGGCCCCAGTCCACCAGAGGACAAGGGTTTTCAAGGGGACCCTCCTGTCACCGTTGCCTGCCTGCATCTGGCCTTTGCAGATGTCAGACAGAAATGAGAAATCCCCGTGAGACTGCTAGGCTCCATCACAGTGAACAGCACGTTCATTGTTTTATGATACGGCAGCACTTTTTATTGTAGACAGACAGGGACATGTGGTTAAGAAAAATGAATCCCCTCACCCCTCCAAGGTTGCCTCTCTCAGAGCTAACGCTGGGACTATTGAGTTTGTAGCACAGTCCTTGGCATTTTCGGGAGTTCTTAGATAGCTGATGTCATGCTGCTGTCCGCAGAGCTTGACACGTTCCCTTCTAGTTTTATCATAAGCCGTTAAAGGGAACAGGGATTCTGAAGGGACACTTACCTGATTTCCCATGGTCTGGTCACATTTCAGTTATTGGCAATGACAAAGAGAAAAAAAAAAAACAAAAAAGAAAAAACAATTCAGTTGGGAACCAGAAATCATTCTTGGGGTCCCCAGTATCGGACTCATCGGCAACGCCCATGCATACACACACTCATCAGCGCATGCCTACAACACCACGGGTTGTGATTGGACAGTGAGCCACTGAGTGACAGCGTGTCCTGTGTCTCAGTTCACAGCGCCAGTGCCCTGTGTCTGCACAGGCACACATTCCTCCATGCTTCTGTTTAGCTGTCCCTCCCCACAATACTCACATCAGTGACTCTAACCTTTCCCACCTGCTACTGGCTTGCCTTAAATCAGAGTCTGCCCCCTTGCCGGGCTTCCCCTGCTGTTCTCCTGGAATTCTAAAGACACCTGATGTCTTTAGATGTCCTGATCTGTCTCAATACTGAATTGCTTTGGAAGTGCTTCCCTTCTATTTCTTTCATTTCTGGAAAGCACCAAGCTCCCTGTTGACATCTTAAAAGATGTCAGGAATACGTTCACCCAAAAGGATTGTGGGGGGAGCCCCAGGCCTGCACCTGCGTCTCAGGGCCCAGCACCTCCCTGCCTGGTTGTTTTTGACTTTCTCACCCCAGAGCAGACACATTCTCCCTTTAAACATCCCGTCTCCTTTTGCCTTGGGTCAGAAACCCAGCTTAGTCAACACAATACAGTCACTACAATAATCCATGCACATATATTTATTATCTCAACCCACCCCAATTCTAAGCTAGATTCAATAGCTTTCCATGCATACCAGTTTTTTATTGCTGTATAACTGATCAAAGATCAAGCCCTGGCTACCTACAACCATCGTGCCAAGAAAGGTTTCTTTATATCTAGCCTCAATTTCTCCTTTGTGGTTTTAATTTATCACAAAAGTAAATGTTGCCTTGTGTCTACAACCTGAAACAAATTTGAGTGTGAAAATGAAGTGTTCACGGATTTGTTGTTCGTGTGAAAGTCAGTAGACAAATGCTTCTGTGCCCAGCTCAACTGTGAGATGGTGTAAACTAGGTGGGATGGAATGCACAGATCAGAACCCCACATACCTAGACTCATTCATTCACAATCATAGTGCTCATTCCTCCCTGATACCCAGTCCTAACCTGACTTGAGTGGAGGGCAGAAGGGGCAGTACACCAAGTGTGTGCTGAGAAAAAACAGCACAGTGTGATTATGCAGGAGGCTGAAGTTGAGAAACCCAGATGTGAAGTGGAACCAACACGGAAAAGCGTCTGGGGCCAACGGACTTAGAGCCCACAAAGAAGAAAGGCCTGCGGTTTAAATGTGTGTGTTCACTCTTTCATCGGAACTGTAAAGCAAATGATGAACGTGAATGTACGGCTCGCTATAAATCAGCCCTAAGCCCCTGAGCCTTTTTTGTGAGGGCAGTTAAAGTTCCAGGTCTTCCCATGCCTGAATCTCGGTCCTCTTCTGGGATATCGGAAGAATCTTCTCCCTCCTTACCCTTCTGGGTTCCTTTTGGTCCAGTTTGTCAGCACCAGATCAGAGTGGACCAGGATGGGAGGGAGCCCCAAGTTCCTGGAGACTTCAACAAAGGGAATGGCAAGAGTTCTGGGCAGCACCTTGAGGACAGGAATCCTGGCAGTTAGTATATTCTGTTAGCAGAGGAACTCACCATGGCTGGCTGCGATAAGGGATCCAGAGACCAAGCTTGAGTTCCCTGAGTGGTCCACACCTGTCCCCTATACACGCTTCCTGGGAGAAACCCAGTGGGAATACTGTTTATGAGAACCCATTGCAAGAGATGCAAAAATCAGAAATGGAGGATACTGTGCACACAATGCACAGAACCTCTGAAAACTGTACACACAAAAGTGTCACCAAAAAGTTTAGTGTACACTGAGGACTAAGAACGAGCAATGTAAATTGCTCTGTAGTTAGATAATAGATTATAAATAATATATAAGACATATATACACACAGAGAGATACAGGCATTGATCATAGGATGCAGAAATGGAAATAGAGATGTAGATACACGTACATAAAAATAGAGGTGTGTGTGAGAGAGAGTCAGAGAGAAAGAGAATAAGAGACAGAGAGACACAGACACACACACACACACACACACACACACACACACACACACACACATGTGGACAGAGAGACAGAGAGGTGAATGTAGGCACATTCATGCCAAGTTGAGTGTGTAGAAGTCAGTGGACAATTTCCAGTATTTATCCTCACCTTCCACCTTCTTTGAGACATGCTCTTGTTCACTGATGCCTGTGCTACCTTTCCTGTCAGGTTCTGGGGACCCTAGCTCCAGTGTCAGGGCTGCTTGGAAGTGATTGACCCGCTGAGCGCCTCCCCAGCCTAGGACTGAAGACAGTTTAAAGAAGATCTGCGGCTGCCATTCTTTCTTCCTCAGGGCGGGGAAAGATGTGTGTTTGTAGGTAGGGAACCATTGCAGAGTTTGCAGAGCGTGGAACTCTGTAGCAAGCTTCTGCAGACGGTGGGGGGTGGGGAGGATGGGAAGGTGTGAGGTAGTCACACAGCTGGGGGTGGGGGGGGATGTCAAGGAAGACTTCCAAGATAAAGGAGTGAGGAGGCTGGGGTGGCCTTGGGGGCTGGACATTACTTCCCTCCTCATAATTCAGGAGAGCATATGGCAAGGGAACTCATTATATTGTCACTGGCCTAGGATTTAAACTTTCCAACATTGGACATTAGACACTTGAGTTCAGAAGATGAGACACAATGTGCTATCATGTTAGAATCTGAAGGAGCAGCCGGGCAGTGGTGGCACACGCCTTTAATCCCAGCACTCAGGAGGCAGAAGCAGGCGGATCTCTGTGAGTTCGAGGCCAGCCTGGTCTACAGAGTGAGTTCCAGAAAAGGGGCAAAACTACACAGAGAAACCCTGTCTCGAAAAACAAAACAAAACAAAAAAATCTGAAGGAGCACCTGGCTGTCCTTTCTTCCCAGTCTCGAGTGTTTACATGTGGGATGAGAAATGGGATGAGTCAGGCAAAGCATAGCTCAGGCCTCTCACGAAACTGGGTAGCTCTGGAATAAGAGCAACACCTTGCTTTCTGGGAAAGAGAAACAAAGGGAAGAGGAAATAGTTGGAGCTTCTGTTGAATGGTGAAGTGTTAAGGGAGCACGCACAGGCCCTGGAATCCATCCCAGCGCTCTCAGCAAACACAACACAGAGGAGGAACCCATAACTGGACAGAGTGGCCCAGGGCTCTAATTCCAGCACTTGGAAGGCTGAGGCAAAGGGATCACAAATTTGAGAACAATTTGGACTAGAGAGTGAGTCCTAGTCTTTTTGGGGCTACTTTGTAAGACCTTGACTCAACAGAGAAAAAGAGAGAGAGAGAGAGAGAGAGAGAGAGAGAGAGAGAGAGAGAGAGAGAGAGAGAATTAAATAAAATTAAAAGATTTTTTAAAAAGAATGAAAATGAAAGGTAATATTAGTTTCCTCCATGGGTAGAGAACATGGCTTGCATGCCCTAAGGAATAAATTGAAACTTGAAAGTCACACAGAGACTTAGATGAAGAATTGATCTAAATGAACAGCAGGCTGGGCAGAAAGCGGTATTAAGGAAATAAGGGCATGATCTCATCTCTATGTGTCCTGGGCAAAACCCATCTACTTCAGTAGAATCAGGCACTCTGTCCTTCCCACTGTCCTCAAGGAGCTGACCTTGAGCTTGGGACAACTCCCCAGATGTCTGTGCAACAGAGTGATTATGAAAATCAAGATAACCAATGCCTTTAGAAATATAAAATTCTTCAGGGGGTTTTATGGGTTCCTGGGAATCTAAGGAAGATTGTCACATACTTTTGGAATGGGGGTGTCAAGAACCTTTGAAACTGGCCATTGGTCTAAAAGAAAATCAGCTCTGTGGGGGTGGGGGGAGTCCCTTTTCCCTGCCTTCTTCTGATTTTTGGAGACTGAGCAGTGGAACCTGGGGCTGGTGGTCAAGAACCTTTGGGACTGGCCATTAGTCTAAAAGAAAATCAGCTCTGTACCAGGGGGGCGGGAAAGTCCTAATCCTTTCCTTGCCTTCTTCTGATTTTTGGAGACTGAGCGGTAGAACCTGGGGCTGGTGGTTTGATTCTTGGTACAGGGACTCCGGGATCACCTGAGAGGCCTCCCTTTACCCCTCACCTTTTGGGGTTGGGTCTCTCCTTCTTGCCAGACGAATCCCATGGTGATCGCGGCCAGCACCAGGTGTGCCAGACGTTGCTCCCGGTGCCCCTTTAGGAAGCTGCAGTCCAGGAGGGGCATCTGTTGAAGAGATGTTAAGATCGGCCGCTGCAAAACTAAAGGGTGGGGCACTAAGACAGGGGTCCCGTGACTGGAGGGTGACTTAGAACGCTGTTTGGCTTTCACCAGACATCTAAGTGGCTCACCAGACATCTAAGTGGCTTCGTGCATACCCACTTAGCCCAGCTCTTAAAGCGATGCAGTGTGGGAGGTGCAATGTCTTGGGGTGGAGCATCCAGGCTGTGCTCAGTTTGTGCCCAGTCCCTGGTCTCCATCTGTTGCTTTGAGGGTCTCAGAGTAAGCATCGAGGCTGAGGTAAGTGGTCCCCCGTACTGGCCGCATCCTATCTACTGGCCCCTAGCTTTTCAAGCCCTTTAACCTTGTAACAACTTTAAAAAGAGCAAGATCCAAGCCAGGCGGCGGTGGTGCATCCGCCTTTAATCCCAGCACTCAGAGCCAGGCGGATCTCTATGAGTTCGAGGCCAGCCTGGTCTACAGAGCAAGATTCAGGACAGGCACCAAAACTACGCAGAGAAACCCTGTCTCAAAAAACAAAAAACAAAAGCAAGATCCAGTGGATTAGGGATGTAAACTCCCTACAAAACCATGGCTCAGCAGGGCATAAGGCTTGCATGGGCCCTCGTAAACCACCCACAACCCAGCAAGATGAGGTGACGGGGCTTTCCACCCAGCTCCGTCCCCACCTTGTCCCATGGGAAACCACAGCTTCTGGTGACACGGAAAGCGGAGCCAGTGCTCAGTCGGGCCACACCAGCTTCCCTGTCCTGCCCGGCTGCCATCGGCTCATCGTTCATCGCTTTGGCACTCCCCTGCTTCGCTCCCTTTGCTCCACAGGCGCCTCGGAGGGCAGGCGGAGGGCAGGCGCTGCTTGAAGCTGCCGGGGACACTGGCTTCCTAGGGCTGGGCTGGACAGAGCGCAGTCGGAGGGGGCGCAGAGCCCTTCCTCCTCCCGCCACTAGGGGGCAGGGTCTGCCTGCGGCTGCGGTGGCCGCAGAGGCTGGCAATGGTAGTTACCTGGTAATTGCTAGAAGAGGCTTCATTTTTTAAAAAAGTGTTTGTACAAGAGGTTTCATTTAAAAAAAAAAAAAGAGTGTCTGAATTATGACGCTGAAGCCCCCATGCAAGGAACCAAACTGTCTCAAAGGCATTTGCTAGGGTCACAGAATCAGGAAGTGTGGAACCAAAATAAGACCAAAATGTTTTCACCCTAAAACTAAGGCCTAAGATTTCTCCTTTTTAGGTATAGGCCATGAGTTACTGGAATAGGCCATGAGTTACTGAAACCAGCCAGCCCGGATTCCAGAAACCAGAAAGTGTAAAGTACAGAGTCACAAGGTATTCGTGAGGTGATGGCTGCTGGACCACGGAATGTCCTCTCCCTGGCTCCCTAGATAACTGTTTCACCACAGAGCGTCCCAACCCTAATCTCCATAGTGACTGTTTAATCACCAGATGTCCCCACCTGGGGGCAGCCAATGAGAAATGGTGATGGGCAACCACCTCCTCAGAAGGAAGATTGGATCATGATTTCTGTAAGTCCCTAGACCTAAGCCAATCAGAAATGTACATGTATGGAAATCCTCGCTGTTGCATTTTGTGGTTTTTGCCTTTAAAAGCTGTGCAAGCTGGGCGGTGGTGGCACGCACACCTTTAATCCCAGCACTCGGGAGGCAAAGCCAGGCGGATCTCTGTGAGTTCGAGACCAGCCTGGTCTACAGAGCAAGATCCAGGAAAGGCACAAAGCTACACAGAGAAACTCTGCCTCAAAAAACCATAAATAAATAAATAAATAAATAAATAAATAAATAAATAAATAAATAAATAAATAAATAAATAATAGATAGATAGATAGATAGACAGATAGACAGATAAATAAATAAAAATAAAAGCTGTGCACAATTCAGGCTGGACACTTCCTCCAGCCTCCACTGCACTGGGTGTGTCGGACAAAGTCCCTGCCTAGGCTTGTATTGATCATGGACATCCTGGATTAAAACCTTGCTTTTGCATTCCGGTACTCTCGTCTTCGGTGGTCTCTCTGAGGGGTCGCGATCTGGGCACAACAGAAGGAATGAGGAGGTTCTGTGGACTGACCACAGCTCACTTGAATCATGAGTCACAGGTTTTGTTTAAAAGTTTCCAGTAGCCACAGTTCTTTAAAGCCAAAAAGAAGCAAAATTAGTCTTCATAATGTACTTTGTTGAGTCAATGTATTTTGTATTTTAATAGGTAATCAGTATAGAAGTCTTTCAAACTCTTGAAAATCTATTCTGTGCCTTCTCGCTTTGTCCTTGGCCACATCTCAGGTGTTGAAGAAGGACACCTATGGGACAGCCTAGGTATAAAGGATCAAGGTCCACCTGAAGAAGGTTTTCTCAACATTTCAGGGTTGCTGACCCTGCCTTCTAAACATACAGATGATTAAAAAAGCAACTATAGGGACTGAAAAATAAAATAATTATCTTTGTAGTTAATCACTTGGCCTAAACAAACAGCGGCAGATGGTGAGGGAGAATGCTATACATCCCTTATCTTCCCGAGTCGAAAGCAGTGGCCACACGTTCTGGAATTTTCCATAGTTCATTTTCTTTTTCAAGTTCAGCTCTGCTTTGGTTTAGAACACAAAGAATTGGGTTTCACTGTCACATTTTAGTGGTGGGGGGGGGGGGGACTAGCTGTTGCTTCACACACACACACACACACACACACACACACACACACACACACACACACAGTTTATTTTCATTACTTTCTTTCCTAGCATTTGCTTGTTGGAAAGGCTGCTTCTTCAGCTCCACATGGGTTTGCTGGTGCAAACCTGACCCTGAAGAAAGGCTGCCATTCACTTGCCTTATTTACAGCTCTAACTGTCCAACCGGACTCTCTGTAAAAAACAATGGTGTCCCTTTAAAAAGCACCTTTTTAAACTTACAAAGTAATTGAAATCGGCTGTAAAATGTCAGGCACATACAAATGTATACACATACTTTATAATCAGAAAATGGTCTCTTTGGAATCCGTACCACACCTGGGACAGAAACTGACGTTAGAAATGTAGTGTGCCGGCCCAATGTCTGAGGCCTTGTGTTAATTATACTTTTGAGCTGCAAATTATTTCAATTGAGTGAAAAATATAACACTAATGTTTATGAGTACACTGACTCCCTAAGGACATTTTTGGATTGTGTATTTAACCAAATATTATAGGATGTTGTTCGATTATGTATTTAACCTGGCAAATTTAATCTTAATGCTCTTTTCTCAGAACTCGGTAAATATTCAGGGGCTCTCTAAACCAGCTCTGCCACCCTGCTGACTTCCACACTGGGGCACTGAGTATTTCTGACACACTTCTTGAAGGTATTGAAAAGTATACTTTGATACAAGGTCTAGCAAGATGAATATGCACAAGGATATTTGTTTTTATACAGAATGGAATATGAGTCCTTACGCGGACACACCTACACTTCCAGCAATCGGGAGGCAGGCTGAGGCAGGAAGATCTCAAATTTGAAGCCAGCCCAAGCGACATGTTAAGACCCCCTCAGAAGGTAAAAATGTATGTCTCTCTTTCTATCATTTACATATGTATGGATGTTAAGCGCACATTCACATGAAGTAGATTCTGCATACATATACTACCATACACTTTCTGTTGCTCCGTAAACTGTAGGGCAAGATGTATAGAGTGGCAGAGACACAGACACATGCCTATGTGGCCACTTACTAGCTGTACATTTTCATTTATTTAGCAAGTATGTTTATTAATGGAGGTTCGGGGGCTTCACCTTTTATCCTATTCATCTTTTCTCTTTTATTCACTATGGTTATTCATGAAACGGCCTTGTGTATTCTTTTTTAATTTTTTTTGGATGAGTATTTCTGCAAGATCAATTCACACAAATGGACTAGCTGTAGCAAAGCACATGCGTAGTTGATATCTTCACTGGTACCGTTACTTTACTTGTCACACAGAACCGTCCTAACTGTTTGTCCCACTGCATCCTGGCTAGTAACCAGCTAGTCGGTATAAAAGAGGGTGGGCGAAAACAGAAGCATTGGTGTGTGGGTTTCATCACAATGGGAGACCCTCTACCAACTGCCCCTTCACCTTTCCCACCAACACACATCTAACATTTGTGGATTCCAGATTTCAACTAGAAAGAGAAGCATGAGACTTTCCCTTTGAGGGTGAAATACCTTGTGAGGAGTTTTAGGGAACAGCATGTACGTTCTTCAAACCCACAGCTTGATTAGGGGTAATATGCTCACTGTAGGTTTTTTCCCAGGGGACATGGATCAACATTAGTTCTTTTCTTATCTTTTTCTCTACCTTATTTTTTTCCTTTGATGTTTTTATTAGTATTAGTGTTTCAACCGTGTGTACAAACCACCTTTGTGCAAAAATAAACTAAAATAACTCTTTTTGGATTGCACTTTCTTACATGGGTCAGCCTGAATGGGGGTTTTGGGGAGAGGGGATTTATCTAGGGTGTTACTGAGGCCTGCTGCCTGTCCTGACTTCTGGATATCCTGTGAGGGCCAATCTATGAGTATTTTTAAATCAGTTCATAATTAGACATTAAACGTCAGCAAAGAAGATCCTGGAAGGTGAAGTGTCTTCTTGTGTTTCTGAAATCCTGCGGCTTGCTTCTGACAGATAGCCGAGAAAGGGAAGTAATATGCAAATATTGGGTGTTGTTATGTGGCAGGAACTGTGACAGGGTCCTGACAAAGACCATTAATGCTCACAACAATGGGATGAGGGCTTCCTCCATTTCTCAAAGAAGGAAGTGAGATTATGAGGCTCTCTCAGAGTTTCAGTGCTTACTATGAAATTCCTGAATCAAAGCATGTTTTCCTACTATGCCTTCTGGAGGGGGATGGCTTCCAGTTTCCCAGGACCCAAGATGTCATACTCTTCTGTATTCCTTTTTGAGGGAAATTGCTTACTCTGCCACAGATGTACCTCATATACTTACATGCATGCAAATTTTAATGTGATGTCTATGGAGTTCATTACTTCTCCAGGGCCATGGCTGACCTTCTGTTTATAAATCAGAAAGACTTTTTATTCAGCTAATATATGATACAGTAAGGTCAAGCTAACCCACTCAGAGGTAGCAGACCTTGTCCCACCATGTTTGGGACAAGCCCCCTGAGAATTTCCATGCCTGTCTTCCTCATTTTCCCTTAATTTATTCTCAATTCTCGTCTATAATCATTTTTACACCAACACATGATGAGGACTCGATACATTGTGGGTGTTGTTTTGTGCAAGCCTGGGAAGGCAGAGTTGATGACAATCTCATGGCAGTGATTAGTCCCTATGGCCAGGTCAACTGTCCCACTCCCACAAAGCTGAGCAGAAAAGGTCTAGGAAGGACGGAAGAAGGCTGTCGGTGTCGAGGGGCGTGAAGAGAAGAACAAAACAATGTACCTTGTAGACATGGGCCTGGAGCTGGTGGCTTTCAATTAAGTGAGGGAGTTTGTTGGCGATTTCCATCCAGGGCCTGTAGTGATCAGGAAGTTCTTTCTGCATTTCAAATAGAAAACAGCTCAGTCATTCAGATCTCCCTGGAAAGCAGCTTTGGAATACTCTTCCGAATTCAAGTCAGCCCAGGTGTGCAAACAGAGCTCACTACAAGCCTGGCCTTAGGCTAGACTAACCACACAGACATGCAGGTGGCTAGCATACAGATCTTGGGCTTCTCATACCACACAGCAAGGGAAGGGAAAGTGCAGACAGACGGGTCCTGATGTAAATCACATGCTTCATGCTGCTGTGTGTCTGTGAGCTTGGCACCCTATTGAGAATGGAAGTGGTTAATTCTGTCACCTGCTCTGGGAGTGAGAAGGGAAAAGTCACAGAAACCTGAAAATCGGGCCTGGTTTCGAAGTCCAAGCGTGGCCTTTCTTTTCTTCATTTTTATTTTTGTATCTGTAGTCTTTTGAGACAGAGGTTTGCTATGCAGCCCAGGCTGACCATGAACTCACAATCCTCTGCCTCAGCCTCCCAGGTACTGGGTTGTAGGTATAAGCCCTCAAGTCTACCATCTTATTTTTTTATTTTGAGACAGTCTCTGTGAGTTGCCTGGGCTGCCACTGACCTCATGATTCTCCTCTTGCGGCCTCCGGCGTAGCTGGGGTTACAGGCTTGAGCCACCCGGTTCGGCTACATCGATGTGTATGAATCACTTTATACTGAAATCCATCCACTCCCATTTGTCTATGGCAGCTTTTGCAAGCTGCAGTAGACCTGAAAAACAGCAGCAGAAAGCTGCATGCTGTCCAAAGGAAGTTTATTTGGCGTTTCAGAAAATGTTCGCCAAACCTGGGTGGGGCCCAGCGGCTTTTCAGTGAACAAACGGGTTGTCTAAATTCATGCATGGCCTCTTAAGTTACAGAGAAGTGGGATGAAGACCATGACCGTGTTTATGAACTGAGTGACTGTGGAACGGGTGAGAACACAAAAAGGAAATGCGAATAGAAAGCAGTGTAGACAAAGAGCTGGCTCTCAATGGATCGGGCTTACACAGCTGTAGAAATTAACGCAATGTACCAAGAAGTGTGCGGTTCAGAAAGAAAGTCACTAAAAGGGAAACCGGAGAGTGTGGTCGGCGTTTCTGAGGCTGATGAGAACTGAAACAAGAAGCAGGTCTAGGTTAGCACACTGGGGAATATTTACACGGCAGACACAGTCATGGACTCCATCGGCACAGATAAAAAGAAAGTTCTAGAAGTTCAATGAGCCATCAAGAAAGACCACAGGGAAGTCAAAACTTAAGAGGATTTTATGAAAGGCACTAATCAGAAGATCAAAGGCATCAATATAGAGTTAAATAAGGCTACCCCTTAGCCACAAAAAAAGGCAAGGAAGTGCGTGCTAGGTTCTCTAGGTTTTGTTGTTGTTGTTGTTGACATTGAGGTCAGGGTCTTGGAAACTGAGTTCAAATACTCCTGTGCTAGGGAAGTGCAGGAATATGTGGATGGACTTTTTAGGGGAGCTATTAGTGAAAGGGTGCCTGCTTTCACAGAAGTCTTCTAGAAATAAGTGCAGCGAGCAGTTCATAGTCTGCTGCTGTAATAGGATCAAGGGGAAGGAGGAGAGGGGGTACTCAGGGCAGCAGGGCATGAAGAAGGGGAGAAGGAGCCTGGAGGGAGATGCATCCTGGAGGGATGAAGGAGGGAGATGCATCCTGGAGGGATGAAGGAGGGAGATGCATCCTGGCAGAAACAGAAGCAGGGGCTAGAGTCTTGGCTTCCTAAGGACCCAGTTTCTCAGCTCCCTGGAGTGAAGTTGATCAAGAAGACAGACTAGAGAGGGGTAAGCATTATGCTAAGAACGGGGAGAGGAGGCGGAGCTGACCCTGAGCAATGCGACAACATGGAAGGGCACTGAGAAGCCAGGAAATCTGAGAGTACACATGAAGAAGGGCAATGGAGAAGTAGTGATCAACAAGAGACCCCCATATCACTTGTGTGTGTTGGTGGGGGAGAAGGGGGAGGCTTTTCTCATGAACATTTGCATCTCCCAGGATTCTGGGCTCACAACTCCTGCTTAACCCACAACCCCAGTATTTCCAACATCTTGCCATAAACTCTGAAATGTTTGGACTTCAATTAGTCTTTTCTTTCCTTTCTTTGACTCTGAAGTAGTTCCAAACTGGAAGCCTTGAATCAAACTACATCAGGAAGGGCGGCTGTAGCTCCTGACAGATGGCGGTGATGCTGGGGAAGATCTGCATCAGACTCAGTCATAGGTCTCACGGCCTGCCTACTTCTGGGAGGCAGAGTCTATCTTGCTCCACTCACCCCCGTCCCCTCCACCCAACTCCACCCAGCCTTTGTCCTGGGCAGAAATCACGGGTGGTGTCATCGTCTGCAGAAGACAGCTAGAGGTGCAGAACTGAAGAGAGCTGAGTTGAAACTGATAGACATTTGGCAGCAAGAGAAGGACAGCAGAGCACTTGCCTAGTACTGTGAGCCTTGACTCTCATCCTTAGCACTGGAGAGAGAGAGAGAGAGAGAGAGAGAGAGGAGGGAAATAAATGGCAGAGAGATAGAAAATAGATGATAGAGATAAATAGATGATAGAGATGATGATGACAAATAGAAGATAGATAGATAGATGATAGATAGATAGATAGATAGATAGATAGATAGATAGATAGACAGACAGACGGATAGATAGATAGATAGATAGATAGATAGATAGATAGATAGATAGATAATAGAGAGACTGAAAGATTTATGCTGATTTATCTGTGAACTGGCAACTTATTTCAGCTCACTGGTCTGATCTTAATGGAGACTAAGGGGGCCCAGCTCCCCAGTAGTCCCCTCCCAGGGTCCGAGAAGAATCTACAAGCAGCTGATAATTAATCTTTGATGAAAAGAAATGAATCTATGTACACGAAACTCCTTAGTTCATACACTTTATTATTCTGTGTCAGTTGTCTCTCTACAAGCTTATACTCTGCTCTCATTTTTAGCTCCTTTCTTGCCCAATTTCTCTCTACATTTATCTACTGTCCCCTCTAGGTTCTATCTTAATTCCTTCATCTTAGTTCTGCCCCTTCTAGGTTTTCATCCATCTAGTTCTTTCCCATCTCAGCTCCTCTCCCATCTCCTTTTCTCACATCTTGTTCTTCCTCATCTTGTTCTTCCCCATCTGGCTCTTCCTCATCTTCCATCTCGTTCCTCTAGTCCTCTCTTCTAGTCCTTCAATCTAGTTCTTCCCCATCTCAGTTTGTTCCTCTCAAGTTCTTACCCATCTAGTTCTTCCATTCTCTTTTCTCTTCTCCATCTCCTTATTCTCTCCTTTCTCCCTAAGTCTCTCAGGAATCCAGCTATAAACCCAGGCAATAGCAATCCTCTGGCTGAGCAAGGTAACCGGCTTGAATTCTACGGGGTCATAAAGGCAGGTAAGACTTTTCCTCCGGCAGTGACCACCAGGCTTTCTTTTACAATCCAAAATGGGAGTGGTAAAGAAGGAGGTCAACTGAGTGCTAATGACTGGTTAGTGTATGAAAGAGGGGATCTATGTGCTCAGTCTACATTCTGAGAAGTGATTAGGTAAGAAGTTAGGGCTCTATAAAGCTAGTAAGGCTGTAAGAAAGGAGGGTCGGAGCTAAATTGTGTAAAGCTATTACTTAAGGTCCACCTGACCTAGGTGGTGTCTCCTTGTGGAGTTTACCTTAAATCAGGAGACTTGTATGTGGACTGTTATTTCTGTTAGTCCTTGAAAGTGGCTAAGGGAGACATCTGATTCCACTGCTGAAAGGGGAGAAACAGATGGGCTGGGAGGAAGGAAGCCTTTCCTGAGGCTCTTCTCCAAAAACCTTGAATGTATATGTCCAAAGAGTGGTCAGTCCACACTGCTAGCAATTCTTAGGGAAAAGTCAATTGAGAAAACTATGAAGGCACACATGATTTTCATGTAACAAGCCAAATAACACCAAAAACTCCTTGGAATTTGGCTTCCTCTGAAGGAATTCCTTGATCCCTTCAGGTAGTGGCTTTGCCATAACCAGCTGAGTTCTTACAATAATTTTCCTGTGGCCCGTAGCATGATCTGTGCATTTCAGGGCAGATTTGAACATAGTAAGTGAAATGCCAGACTAGCATATCTCCTGTTTACTTTGAAACAGAAAACCACACATTTGAAGTCACGAGGACTCAGATGCCCCTGTGGGTGGGCAGGATGGAAGAAAAGCTGTCACTATCACCTGTATCTTTTCTTCTTTGGTACCTAAAGAAGGAATCCCCCACTTAGAGTTATATTAAGCCTGACCGGATTCTGCCTTCCTAGTTTATGACATCTTTAATAGTTTATTTCTTAATATTGAGACTCCAGACTACAGTCTAATTTTTCCCATTAGGTCCCAGAGGAATGTTGACTCTCTTCATTTCTAACAGCTTGTGTTTGGACTCCTGTAAAACTCAACAAACCAACACAACCACAGAGCTGTCCAAGTGTGGTCAGTGGCCACAGTACCTGTACCCCTTGGGAACTGTTCAACCCACAGACGCTTGGCCCTCACCCCAGACATACTGAAGCCAACACTCTGATGGGGCCCTGCAGCCAATTACCCACCAGCTAATGCCGACTCAGCCTGACATAACCATTGTCAGGGACCAAGCCTTGCAAGTAATCCTGATGAGGAAGAAGGGCCTGAAAGGTATTTTACAACCTGTTTAAATAGGGGACGATACCTCAGCCACGGGTGTTGCTAGGCTCCCTGGCCTCTTCAGTTATTACCTAGGAGACTGCTAAACACCCCTCTCACACAGCACCACAACTCATTTAAAGTGCGTTCTGTCCGCCAGCCTTTCCTCTAGAGACTGGAAAAAGCACAGAATTGTGTTAGTCACTCTCCGTTGCGAGATTTCATGTTGCCGCATTAGCGACAACAGCAGCAGGCAAGATTCTCGTTAGCCAGCAGACATCTTTGACGTCCGTTCATACCCTACCTGTCGGATTCATTTAATTAATTGATTAATCTTCCCCCCCCCCCCCCAGGGATGTGCCTT